TCGATAAAGTTGTACCATCTATCTCAGCCACTTGAAGCTGCATCAAGCAAATGATTAAAATTCAACAAACATCGGCCAGGAAGATGCCAAGTTCCGAGGAGCAACCAACCGAAGAACCATTGTCGCTCTACGATTTCCATCTTTGGCTTGCAGCGTTATTGAAATGTCTTAGCAGCTGTCCAAACATGCTTCACTCCCCACACACACCGCCCATTCGTTCCTTACAGGTCCTGTGGAGCAAAAAGAAGAGTGGGGGGGAAAAAAGGATTCTGCTGATTTAGCATATTGACTCCTTGCCAAGGAGCGAACTTATACAAGATTTATGCGTCCGACGCACGCCAGGCGACAGTCGAGATAAAAGGATTCGTATAACTCACGCCCAGGACGATGAGGATGCTTACACAGAGAGAAAAAATGAAAAGAAAATGGATAGATACTTTTAAAGTTTTAAGGGTGCTGTGATATTACCTATTTTTGATATATTTTGAAGCTTTTTAATACCAAAATCATAGTTTGAAGTTCCATTAATATGCATTGCTTATAAATTTTTCCACCTAATAGTTTTTTCTCTCTACATTCCAAAAAAAGATTTAAAAAGAAAGGGCAGTGCAATAAATTGGATTTGCATATTAGCACACTACAAGTAGAGGTTTGGGGGAGGCAATGGGTAGGTGACTTTGCACCCTTCGGCTTCCCAGGGAATTCCAAGGCAAGGACTCGGGGTGACCACTGACCTTGCATTCCGGGAGTAAGAATGCGACCGGCCATTAGGCAGAGCATCTTAAGTATGAAATCTTTTGCCTAAATTGGAAATAAATCATTAAAAATATGCCCAAAGAAGAGGATGAGGGACCATGAATAACCCCTTGAGCTGTTTGCCGAAAGGGTTTGCAACAATTTCCAGAATCTGCGGCATTCACATGTGGACGGGCTTGGGATTTCATTTGGGGGTTGTGTCGTTATGGGCTTGTAATTCCCTTTGATTTATAAAGATAACGACGCAGTGTGTGTCGTGTCGTGTTTAATTTGCAGCCCACCTACTTCTCACACCCGGCCATTAACATAAATCCTGGACGCCACAGGACTCGAGGACTCGTTGTGTCCGAAATGGTCAGGAATATGACTTATGTGTCGGCCCGGCCGCAAAGTTTTGTAATTATGCATGCCAACCGCCCCAGACATATTACTTTCGATATAGTTCGCTGCTCTTTGTCTTAGTTTGGTATCTTCAAAGGACACCAGCGAGGGGGGTTGACATTTTTTAACTGACCACTTTCATTGGCACGAGGGAGCCACCGCCGAGCAGCTAAAAGTTTTGTGCCACAAACTTTGCCCTGACATCATGGCCTGAGATAAGGATAAACTCCTGTCTCATGCACTGAAAATATAAAAGTGTATAATTATATTAAGAAGAGATGTTTAAGAGTATTTTTATCTTGAAGAATAAACTTGCTGCTTCAATTTCTACTTAGTTTTTGATTCTAAGCTTTATTATTATTACCAAAATGCACTTAACAAGTGTTTCTATCAGTGCATAAATGTTGACTTTCGCCTGTTGTGTTTATTGTCTGTCCTTACTACTTTTATAACCCCGAACCCGAACAGTTCAATGGCCACAAGTATCAACTATGAATTTCCCTAGAGGGTCATTTCGTGGCGAACTTGTGCACTCAGGTTGGTTGGGTTCTGGTTCGGGATCAGGATCGAGATTGGGAGCCGGTCTATTCAGCAGGTAGGCCAGTCGAATAAAAAGCTGATTTGCATGCTCCTCCGCTCGCCATGGTCCTCGGGCATTAAAACTAAAGAGCAGCATCAGCATCAGCATAAGCAGCAGCAGCAGGAAGCGAAAAAGGACCTGCAACGTGTGAGGTTAAATAGATTTCGTGTCCTGGCTGGGGCTTCTGTCTGCCTGACGCGCAGTTATGCTGCAGACATGGCTCGCTTTTGATTTAAGCGCATTGTTTGCGTTAAATATTTGCCATGCCGGCCACGCAGAGCCACGGGTTTCCCGGGTTTTCCCAGTCTTAGTCCAGCTTCACTTCGCATCCAAAGCGCTGTCCCAGCATATCCTGTGGCCAGGACTTGGTACCCAGGGCTAAAGCCAGAGAGCCACAGCTGCAACCAAGAGCCCAGGGCTAAACAGAAGCATAGTAAACCACCAAGTCCCATTTTCTCAACCACCAGCCACGTTGGAAGCGTGACACGGGGGCACTCGAGAAGGAAACGTTTATACAGTCAAAGAAAACTTAAGTATTCAAATAGTTGGTATACTTTATCTGGGATTTTATTGTATCTTTAAGACTTTTCATATATATACCTTTATATAACCTTTCGATGTTTATGATAAATTCAAAGTTTACGATATGATATGACATTGGCACCGTATTTATGGCTTTTTCTTTCAATAAACTTCTCTACGACTGCCTATGCTATTAAGCATCCTTTTTCATGCATATTTTTCTTCATGCCTTAAATCTATATAATTTCTTGCAGTGCACCTGCATTGTTAATCGAGCCAAGGAGCTCCAAGGAGTCTCCGCCTACCATTGCCCAAACGCTCATCTGCGGGCTAAGAAGCGAGCAATCCTCGCCTCGTGTTTGATTTCCGCTTTCAGCTCCTTGACTTGCCGAGCATACACATACAGATACACACATCCTTGGGCTTCGTCCTTCGGGCACCGCCGGCAAACAGCTTAAACTTCACACGCAGACACGTCTACGGGAAAGTGGAAATGTGGAAATGGTGCCGCCAACGGGTAGAGAGAGTCTTGAGGAGGCTTCCTCGGAAGACGCATGAAGTGCATTAGTTGCAATTGAATTTGTACATTGTATGTGCCAGACTCCGTTCAAGTGCAATTTTGTTGCCGCACCGAAATTGGATTCCATATTGCCACTCAGCGAACAGCGAATAGCGAACATGATGCAGCTGCGGCTAAACCAAAACTCCCCGCCGTCCCAATCCATGCCCCTTAGCTAAAGTTAATTAGAAAGCCAGGCAGGTACACTTGGTGGCTGCTTGGAAGACACTAATTGAACTGCCACAGCTGGACCTGAGCTTCGATTGTTAGTTAAAGGAATGGGATCCGATTTACCGACTTACCACCCCCATGAAACAAAAGTGATTTAGTCACACAAGGGGGCACTTATCGGTTGGCATATGTCAATCAAAGTCATTCACTGGCAAAAATGAGAAAACTTAAGTTAACAATTATCTTGGAAAGAATAAGGGGTCTGAACAGGGGTAACTAATTATTTAAGGGGTTAAGCTTCTACACAAAGTAGTTTTCAAGTGGTTTTTGAGGTTTTATTTATTAAAGAAGGAATAGAAATAAATGAAATTCATTTTGACTTGTTATCAAGCGTGTTTTGAAGAATATATATTTTTTAGCCAGTTTAGTTCTGATGCAATCCATTTAATTACAAATGAAGCCAAGAAGAGACTCAAAATTTAAGGTTTCAAAAACAAATCTTGTGTGTTGAAAAGGAAGATCCTTTTGCTCTCGCATTCTAACTGTCTCATTATTGCTGTATATTAAAGATAATAAATGCATTTAATAATCATATCTATTAGATACATTATCTCCCTTATACTTACCCAAATATTTAACTGCCCAAAAAATAAATGAATTGCAATCATTTTTGGGTTCTTGATGATTATAAGCGACAATGGTCGCACTTTATTGAAAGATTCTTTGGATTCTTTGAGAGTCTGCTGGATCGAGATTCAACCCGATCGCTTATACAAAATATATATATATATATATTTTTAGGTATATAATTAGAAGTGTTATCGATTCATAAGGTAGTACATAGTAAATGTTACATATTTCGTATATTATTAGTTTATTATTATTATTTATTATAAATAGAGACAAATACGCATATCATGAGTGATTTATGTATGAATGTGTTAAGTGCTAAATGTTGGGGAGTACAATAAATGTTTGTGTGTGTATATGAGTGTGTTTAGAATTATCTTTTCATTTTATTTTTATCATTTTTTGTTTGTTTTAGTTTTTTATTTTTTTTTTAACTTGATGATTTTATATGCCAATGATGAGTGTGAATGAATGTAGATGAGGGTGTGATTGTGTGTGTGTTGTGTGTGCTAGTGTTAGCTTAGAGAGAGGCTGGCAAATGATTATTGCTGCTGTTATCGATAAACGATATTCGATAAGCGTCTACTGGGATTGCATTCTCCAAGTTAAATATTAGTTTTTTGGTAAGCCTTTTTTTGGTTTTGGGTTTCGGTTGGTTTTTCTGAAGCAAAGTTGGGCTGAAACTATGGATCGAACAGAATTCGCGATGTGTTCCTCAGACTCTGCCTGCCTATCGACACCAATCGATCGATATATGTACATACATATATCGATCATCTTTCCATTCAACTTTGTTTCGATAAAAGATCCTCTCACAATAAAAACAATTTGTACTTTCGAAAAGGGGGAGGGGCGCTTTTGCTTCTGCTTTTACTTATGCTTTGACTTTCTCTGCTTTTTCTCTACGGCTTCGCTTTCTTCTTAGCTTTCTCCGCTCTCTGCCTTCTGCTTTCTTCGTTTGATTCGCTAGGATTTGTTTAGGGTTATCTTTTTGCATTTTCGTTACATTTTGTGTAGGATGCAGGAGTGCTGAGGTTCATGTTTTTTGTATCTTTCAATGTTACTTTGTAATTTCTCTCCGCTGGCTCGACGCTTTGTATATTTGCTTTAGTTTCAACAAGGAAATCAAAGGATGCTCGCTTTTAGTTTAGAGATACAATAAATATTCATATTCGATTTGTTTGCTTGTTTAACGCAAAATCCAAAATGGAGGAGTACCGATCGGGGTCGGGGAAAGTAGCGTTTCGGATACCGAAATTTCCGGCTTTCTTCCTAAGATCCTTCTTCTTACACTAACCCCATCTCCTGTCGGCACATTTGTCTATTTTTGTTTAGCAAGTATTTGTTTGATTTCTTTACACATGTAATTGTATTTTTTGTGTTTTTTGTTTTTTTTTTTTTGTTATATTTTTGTATTTTGTTTTTTGTTCAGGTCCAAAATCAAATTTGACTAATTCAAGGAATTAAAGTTTCATTGCATCTAAATAAGGTAAAGTGTACTTTGTTTAATATTATTATCTTATTATTTGCATAAATTTTCTTTTTCAATAATAGAAACGAAACAAAAAACTTAAACAAAATTCCACTATGGCTCCTCTAATCCTTTTCGTGCTCTTTCGACTCCTTTGCTCGCTCTGTGAAGTAGAGATGGAAAGTTTTCGATATTTATCGGTAAGTAATCGTTATTTTTCCGTTTCTACTTGAAAGATCTTGAATCTTGAGTGAGTTTTTAGAGTGGGGAAAGAGACGGAATTCTAGTTTAACTAAACAAACGGAATTTTAACACAAAATCCTTGACACAATACATCCTGTGCTATTCTCATCCCATGAAAAGGAAAAGGCGGGGGTGGTGGGCGTGTCCCTTAGCCGGGCGGGGCGTGGTCAACGCCTTTACCTGAGCAGCAGAAATTCATCTATGTGAGTAGACGCGACCACGCCCACGCCACAGGATCTAGGATCCCGTCCCGCCTTCCCTCAAATTCATGAAGGACACAAAAAGTTAAACAGGACGTTCAGTGCCATTGTGTTGGTGTGTGTGTGTGTAAGTGTACGTGAGTATGAGTATGAGTGTGTATGGGTATGAAATACTTATAACGAAACATACAAGGATCAATCTCCAATAGATTATTAAATAGTACAATGAAAACTTCATATACAATATATGCCATATATAATAGATACTCGATATACGATATACGATATACGTTACTCGATATACGATACACGTTACTCGTAATAATGCAATAATAATAGCCAAGATCAATATACGATAAAAGATATACATGTATAAAGTCCCTACATTAATAATGGTAACTCCCCATGTTTCTATAGCGGCTCTTGAGCTGGGATTTTAATATTTTGTTTTGTATTTCATTATTATTTTTTGTTGGGGATTTCTGTGGGCGTGGCAGCTTCGATAATTTGGCAGCGATTTTTTTGGTATGTTTATATGAGTATTTTTATATAAATGCGGGGACAGTACTCTATTTATAATATTTAATCGGTTTGCTTGTTGTGGGGGAATCGTTAAAAGTTTGCTTTAGTTTAAATTTAATTTAGTTACTCGTAGTTTATATGACTTTTGGTTTAGTTTGGTTTTTTATTTTGTTTAGTTGAGATGCATGCATTTTGATGTATTTGTGTATTTTTGCTTAGGTATTACTTGGTATTTTGTTGTTGCCATTGTATAATAAATTGCTCTTGAATTTTACTATTAAAATTTTCATAACTCGCCATTAAAAAATGCTCGTTTCGTTTTTAAACTTGTTTCTTCTTTTCTTTTTTGTTTTTTTGTGGAGTGTATAAGTGATTTTCATAATATTTTCGTTAGTTTTGCTTTTGGTTTTTGTTTTCCGTCATTTAACATTTATATGTATATTTGTAAGAATTAAACTAGAAAAATTCTAATCTGAGGTAATTATTCCATTAATTTGTATTCGTGTGAGTGTGTGTGAGTGTTGTTGTTTAAGACAGTGAGTATAATGATTGCCCCCCTTGATCCTTTTTCGTTCGGTTTCCAAGGGGGGCTAGTTGGGAAGCGTGCTTAGCCTAGAGCTTAGAGTCCTATGCCTGAGAGTCCTTAGGGGACCCAAAGCGATTCTACTTAGCAAGAGTGATTACCTTTACTTTATTTTATGTTATTTTACTTTTCTTTCTTCGAAGCAGCCACAAAACTGTTTACATTCTTTTGTTTTTTTCACTTTTTTTGTTGTTAATTTTATTTGTTTTTTTTGTTAATTTTGATTAAACTTAGGGAAAATTTTATGCAGAATGCCAGATTGTGTGTATAAATTTTGTCACAGTTATGAGTGTGTGTGTGTGTTTGGAAAGTGCTTGATTGTTTTTTTGCCTTTTGGAAACAACTAAACCTAAGCTTACCGAAGTACAATATCCAAAATATAGACGATCGAATTCGATTCCTATGCGAATTTTACAAATTTCAAGCCAAAAAATATACCACATATCATTTCCTTAAATTTCATTTGATTTCAGATCATCGATCATCTTTAATGCTCTCACAGTTGGTGTTCCTTATCCGAATCCAAATACAAGTATGTATATATAACCTTAAGACTCTTTCGAACTTAATTGCTAAGCCAATGCTCACAGATGTTGAGTTTATCCTTTGCTTTTCCATCGCCTTCTTATCAATTTCAAATTCAAATTCAATTTCGATTTTGCAATTACGAATTAAATATCACATATCGGGGAGCTCTTTTCGAATCGGAAATCAAGTGAATTCAAATGCAAATTAAAGTGTGCAAAATGATTGTATCCTGATTTCAAAAACCTAAGTTATACATAAATATACATATGTATTTAAGTTTTAATGCCAATGGTGCTTATCAACTAGTTTGTGGCTGTCCTGAGAGTGTTCGAATCGAGTATGCGCTTAGACTAAATGAGTGCGATTCGAATGGATTTGATTCGATTCGATTTGATTTGGTGTTGTCTTCTTGCGTGTGACTAACTCTAAAATGGAATGCAATGATTCGAGTTGGGTCCTGAGTCCTGCGTCCTTAGACTGTGGCGATGTGTGTGTGCGTGTTTTTCTGTTGTATGACTGACGTGACTGGACATGAGATGACATGACATGACACATGACGTGATGGTGAAGATGGAAATGACCCTTTGAATGCTGTACATTAACTACATGTAATACGTATTCAAAATTTACACTGCAAGTCCTTCATCTCTTCTGATTCCTTCAATTCTTTTCACTGCCCCCACCTAGCTTCGATCTACGATCATCGATCATTGGTTATCGATATCGATTACTGTCTTATCGCTTCTTCATTTGTTTTTTTGGTTCTGCATCTGAGGTATTGTCGGGTGCTAAAGAGCCACACACTCGGCTACAAACGTTTCAACAATGAGGTAGAGAGTTCTGTTTGCTTTTTGTTTGCTTCGTAGTTAGTCTCTGTGTTCGCTGGAAGTCCTTGAATTCTTCTTGATTAGTTCGCATACCTGAATTGCTTGGATGTTCTCTATATATGTTTAGTACTTATTCCCCTACGGATACGGATCACGCTCTCTATATACGTATTGGAGATAATTCATCAGATTTCATCAGTCAGTCAGTAGTCGCTGTTTGCTCATCACAATTTCATCAAAATATCGACACACACTCGCACAGGATCAGTCCATCGGTTATCGGCTATCGCTAATGCTATCCCTAAATCCCTAAATATATATGAAGCTTAGCCTAAATCTAGTCTAGAGTAATATATGATCCTACAGAGAACAAAACACAACATCAAGGGTTACAAGTTAAAACGAATTTGTGTGTGTAGTGTGTGTGGTGTGTGTTTGGGCACTGCTAAAACCTAAGTACAACATATAGACACGACTTGGACTTGGTGACTTATAGCGAAATAAATATGGCAACGATTGTTCGACAATTCATACTCCATCAGCACGAGTGCGCCTCAAAAAAGATATATAATATATATATATATAGATATATACTGTTTATAGAGGGAAGGTCCATATATTACAACATCTGAAGCAATATATAAACACACCCGTGTGTGTCTTGTAGTGTAGTGTAGCTTTGTGTTTCCTACTTGTAAGCCTATTATAATAAACCTATTAGCTAAATCAAAAAAGCCCTGATAGAGGGGATGAGATTTAGGGATTTTTTCGCGAGTTGGGGCTTCCGCAGTAAATGATGGCTGCCTTGTGGGGCCTTCGCTCGTATTGCTTGCTCAACACTCCAGTTTTGAACCCCCCAATTATATAGGGGCATCCCGGAAATATGGGGACCTGATCAACCGATCAACCGATCAACCGACTGTTGGTCCACTTAACCAGCGGTTCCGTTCCACATTATCGGCTCTGCTCTTGTAGCACTCGCTTAATGCTTAATTGCTACACGTACTCTATAGGGATAATTCCAATACAATATTCAATACAATACAATACCAATATCAATAATAGCAAATACGAATACGAATACGAATATGCTCGCAAGTAAATCAAATTCGTTTCTAGCAAAACCTGTGCAAAATGTCTGCAAATAAAGTCACCTACGGGGGGATTTCAATATTTCGATTTCGTTATCGTTATCGATTGAAGATCGCATTACATACATATGTGTTTCTTCTTGACTCGTTACCATACAAATATATTTATATATATAAATACACTTAGTTGCTAAACAAGTAGTGCAGCCCTCTCAAGCGAACTTAGGTTTGGGGATCATAAACTGGAAAAGGATCATCGGGGAGGCATGGGGTTAAGGATTCATTGATTAGTTTAGGAAGAATTACGAAGAATTGATTTAAGGTTTGTACTTTGGCATGAAATCTTCAACATAACGAGAACAAACGTGAACAAAAATTCGACTACAACATTTCGACCTTTCGACATTTTCCATTTCCACTTTCCACTTTCACTCCTACTCTCTGCTCTTTCAACTTAAAATTCAACTAAGAAATTGATTTAGTGCTTTGGGTTAGGACAGACAGGTAACTTAGTAAGCAATCAAGTTTGCTAAAGATTTAAGAAAAGGTTCTGGAACTGGAACTGGGGATTAAAAATTAGGATTATCTTAAAGGAGGTCGGTTCTAAGCTATCTGTTTAAGCTGCGATTAACATGTTCCTACGTCGAGTAATTATGTACTTCAGTGTGATTAAGATCCTATATGTGGTATGTGTGTGTGTAGATGTGACTAACTGAGGTAGCTGCTAAATGCTAAACTAATTCGCGATTGGAGGAAACTGGATCTAGATCGGATTTGATTAGCCAATCGGTGAAGATACATATATCCGTAAAGATCTTTGCTGCCCCACCTTTTGTATACCTTTTTTTCTCCTTCTCCTAGTCGGCAGTTTGTCGTCCGGCATTTAATTTGTTATCCATATTTTGTTATCAATTCAGCAGTTTGCAAACCAAAAAAAGAACCAAAATCGAAATCAAATAAATAAACAAATGCAAATTATTAAAAATATTTCATTTAATCATTTGAAAATTCAACAAAAATTCAATATTAATTGTAGTAATAATAATAGCAGAAAGTAATGTAATTTTTGTCCTTTTTTCTTTTTTATGTAGTGTTTTTTTGTGTTTGTTTTGTTTTTATTGAAATACAATTAAATTTATTTAGTGGCCCGTTCACGTAGCACGATGAACGGAGTACGAATAGTATAATAATAATAATAAAAATCAACTAAAATATTCAACTAAATTACATTAAAAGTAGACATTCAAGTTGAATTGCCAAAATGTATATATATATGTGTGTGTGTGTGTGGAGGAGAGAGAAGGGTGGGGAGAGGGGGGAAAAGTGGAAAAGGGGCGAGGGGTGGAGTCAGGTGTATAACATAAGAAGGTACAAAGTATACATATAATATATTACACATTACAAATTAGGCATAAACAAAAGTGTGCTAAGTGTGTTCGTTTGTATATTTAAGTTAAACAAAAATTACAATCAGGGATCTATAAATTTTGGAAATGGGATTTTTCGGGATAATATATAGAAGAAGATTGGATCGGAAATATTTGCTGCGCTGCTTCGGATATATATTTGAAGAGGATCGAATTGCGGTTGTTGAAAGTGCCTAAACTTCACCAATTTGTACATTGCGTCATCAGATGATCTGAGAGAGCTCAAAGGGAGCCATCAAAAATTGGTTTTTAAGAATTTTGGTTAAAGTTTAAACATTTTGCACGAGTTTTTTTTTGTTTTTTGGCCTGTTTCAGTAACAGAAAGATCGTCAAATAAATACCACAAATCAAATTAAGTTGCAAGGGAATTGGGGGAAAAGCGAGCAAATATTTCATTTCATTTAACATAAAGTATATATGTTTAAATATATATATATATATATATATATATTTATATATAGTGTGTTTTTTCGTGTGTGTTTTTTGAAGAGTTCTCTCGAGTACAAACAAATTATAAACTAAAACAAAAACTGCTTTAAATTGTTTATAAATTGATTAATTTTAAACGTACATATTTTGTTTTATTTCGCCTTGATTTATCATAGTTTAATATGCATTTAGAAAACATTGTTATTAGTTTGTTATTTGATTTATTTTGTTATTTTCGTTATTTGTTATTTGTTATTGATTTTTGCTAAGGAGGTAATATAAATTACATTTTAATGTGTTTTACTCTCGCTCTCGTCACTGCTATCGCCTCGTCCTTGCCAATTCAGGACGCCTCCTACTTCCTTCTGGGCCTCGGCCTTCATTTAAGAGTTAGTTTAGTTGTGATCGGAAGTCTGACTATTATTATCATTATCATTATTATAATTATTACTGTTTCAGGGGCGGGGGTCTCTCTGTTCTATATACTTTATCGCTTTTCTTCTTGGTGGCTGAGGTGGGCATAAGTTTTGTTGTGGTTTATCGACTGCGCATCATCCTAGCACATTTAACTAAAAACAAAAAACACTGAAAATCAAACTAAAACACGGGGCTGACTTACATAGTAGTTGGTGGTGCGGCTTGCATAGAACTTATTACCAATTAAATATCTATATAACTATATATGCTGCATTAGGGGGGGGAGAGTTTTTTGTGTGTTATTTGTTGTGTCATGTTTCCTTTTTGTGTGTGTATGAGTGTGTTGGGGTTTTCCTATAAAATAAGTTCATTTTCGTTCACTCTTCTCCTCTTCTAGTTAGATTAAAACCTTAAATTTAGACGAAAATTATATATAAAGTGTGTGCCAAACTTATATTATATATAATCCTCTCAAGTAAATGCCAAAAAAGTGTCGCTTGTCGTTTAGTTTCTATCAAAATTTAGGTTTAGGTTTAGGTTTTAGGTTCATAGGTTATAGGTAACTTAATGGTAGCTTTATATAAGTATTTATAACGAAGTCCTCTCGTTACTGGTAGGTTGTGTGTATATGTGTGTCTGTGTGTCTGTATGAAAAAAATCCTTTTTCTATCACTCAGTGTAACGCCTTCTGAAAAACTTTTGTCCTTTAAATTAAGCTTTATTAAATATTTGGTATGTAAATGGCGGCAATGCTAAATGCCCAAGAAAAAAATAAACAGAGGCGGCTGTTAATTATTATAATTATTAATTATTATTTGAAAAGAAAGGTCAGCACATGCAGTTCTTGTAGATCCCTCAAAAAGTTGGTATTTCAAGCAGATAAAACCCTCACCAAAAGTCACCAAATATAGGGGTTAAAATGGGGAGTTGTCAGGGGATATTTGGGACAGCATTCACAGATATTCGAAAAGGGGTTTTATTTTTAATTTAATTCCCAAAAAATTCCATGCAATGCATTGATTGAAAACAGAAAATCCAGTTGAAAAAACCATCGAAATAAAAATAAACTGAAAGTTAGAGAAACTTGCTTAATTTTTAGATGCATTCACAATTGCTTTCGGGTTCTTGGGGTTTTAAATTTTTCTCAAAAATTTTGTTCCTTTCGAACAGCAATTCACAGAAATACAACAATTACATTTTCAATGTTCACAGGGGCTGAGCAAATATCGGGGTTTTGTCACAGTTTTGGCTGTCTTTGCAGAGGCAATTTTGGTCAAGGGGTTTTGTTTTAGACATTTTCAGAAAATGTTTGTTTGCAACAGGGTTTTCACGAGGGATTTCCTTTGGATTTTGGTAGGGGGCCTGGCCTAGTCACATTTTTGGAGCAGGGTTTTATTTTTTAGAATTTTTTATAAAAATTTCGTTCGTTTCGAACACTCACAGTGAAATTGGTTAAATGAGCTTCGGGTTTCCCCACTAATAATTGATTTTCCGAAAGGGAAAAAGCAATGGGGGAAAGCCCAGCCACTCTTTTCACAGATGATTTGACGAAACACTTACAAAGGTCTAAACTTTAAGGTTCGTATCGAACGCAATTGGGATTTGGAGGCCATTTAACACAGATTCTGCTGATCTTTTTGTTGGGGGGGTTAAACACTTCTCACAGGGTATATATCAAGGGATTTTAGTTTTAATTTTATTAAAATTTTACAAAGTTTTAAAATGGGAAATCAAGAGAACAGAAAGTGCAAAATTAAGCACAGTTTTAGGTTGCCTAAACTGCAGTTCACAGTTGGAAATATATCAAAGGGGGTTTTATTTTCAATTTTATTAAAAGTTTCACAGGGACGAGACAGGGATTTTAGTTTTAATTTTATTAAAATTTTCACAGAATTTTAAAATGAAAACTCAGGAGAACAGAAAGTGGAAAATCTAACACAGTTTTGAGTGATTGATTTTAGGGTTTAGGTTTCCTAAACTGCTTTTCACAGATGGGGACATATCAAAGGGGACTTTACTTTAAATTGTATTTAAAATTTTTTATAGATAAGAAATGGATTTTACTTTTAATTAGATTAAAATTTTCACAGACTTCCAAATGGGAAATTAAGAGAAAAGAAAGTGCAAAATCTAACACAGTTTTGGGTGGTTAGTTTTAAACTTTTTATTACAGATAGGGACATATCAAAGGGGGTTTTATTTTTAATTTTATTAAAATTTTCACACAGTTTAAAAATGGGAAATTAAAAGAACACAAGCTGAAAAATCTAACACAGTTTTCGGTGATTTGTTTTAAGGTTTAGCTTGCCTAAACTGAGTTTCACAGAAGGGTATCTATCAATTTGGGGTTTTACTTTCAATTTCATTAAAAAACTTCACAGATTTTGAGAAAATATATGGAAAATATGAAGTTTTAAGGTTTAGGTGGCCTAAACTCTCATTCACAAATGAATATCAAGGTGGTTTTTATTTTCAATTTTATTAAAAATTTCACAGATGCAGGAAAAATAGAGAAATTATAAATCAATATAAGAAATTTTTACGGAAACACAAATTTTTGCTGATCAAAATTTAAGGTTTAGGCGGGTCTAAACATACACAGAGAAGGGGTTATACTTTTTCATATCAATTCAATTGAAAATTCACAGAAATTTGACGATTTTATGAGGGGATATGGGGAGGGGACGTTTGGGGATTAATTTTTCAGGGGATTTGGTGACTTTTCAATGCACGGAATATATAAACACAAAAACAGGAAACATTGAACCGCTCTATATAAATTGTTTGGATGTTTTGCTTGCATACCATTTAGTAAAATTTAGAAAAAATCGATCTTAAAACCTACTAAGCCTAAAAAACGAGACAGTGAGGAGTGCTAAGGACTCGCCACCATTTTAGAGATCCATCACATACGGCTGCTCTGCTTGAAAGAACCCTAAATCGTATATAGATACATATACGAAGATCGCTCTATAACCTAAATCTTAAGCTTACTAATTAATGATCACGCTGCGCCGAAAGTTCTTTATGTTTTCTATTATTTACTTTTTTTTGTATATTTTTTAATTGTTTTTTTTTTGAGGACTTACAACATAGAGAGTGAGTTGAGGGGGTCGTGGGCGAGGGTTAAGACTGCTTGAAATACTGAGGGGTTAAAGTTGAAAGCATGTGCCGCCTCTGGCTGCTGTTTGTGGGTGTGGTTCGGAGGAGGACCTAACTGAACTGTGTGTGTGTGTGTGTTGGGTGTGTGTTTTGTGTTCAAAGATTGAAGAGAGAAACTTAATAGGCCTAGAGGTTGTGTGTGTGTTTTGTGTGTTGTTTTTTTGCTTACTAAAAACTAGGAATTAATTACCAATCGCTTAGGTAAAGATGTGCAACTTATCGCTTAGGTTGTTGTTGTTGTTTTTTCTTGTTAAATTTAGGGTTTATGTTTAATTTTACTTTTTTTTCTTATTAAATTGTAGCAAATGTTTCGTATGTTCTTCCCATTTATCTCGCTTTACTCTCTCATCTACTTCTACTTCTACTCTTTATCTCCTTATTTCCCCTTTGCTTTTCCTTTTTTTACTTTCTTTTTTTTTTTTGTGTGTGTTATTGAGCAGCACAGCAATTATTATGATTTGTTTAAACAATTTATAATGCCCTGCCTTCAATTTATGCTAAATAAAAGTGTTTCCCTCGTCGTGATGTAAATGTTTCGTCGTCCTTACTACCTTCTACTTATTTTTTTTTTTTGCTTTTACATTTTGCTTGGTTTTTGTTTTTTTTTTGGTAAAATGTATAAAAAATTTGATTTAAAAAATAAAAAATAAATCATTGCTTTCGTTTCGCTTTTGTTTTTAGGTAGATAGGTGTAGTTAGATGTGTGTGTGTGTGTAAATAAAAAAAAAATCTAAATAAAAAAAAACTCAACAAAAAATAACAAGAAATTTGTTTTTAGTTTTGCATTGTTTTTCTCGGTGTTCTTACTGTTGTTGTTGCTGACGTGTGTGTGGGTGTGTGTGGCTTTGTGGTATACATAAAAAATCAAATGATTTTAAAAACTAAACACTTGTGGCTCCTGCTCTCTCTTCCCGTGCTCTTCATTTTGTTGTTAAATTTTAGCTAAAAAATAACAAAATGTGATCCTAGTTCATGTTGAGATAATCGTTGAAGAGCTGCATGCAAGCGGCGCCACCGCCATTGGCCACTTCCGCCTCCTGGAACAGCTGGTTGCCATATAGAGGTCTTCCCCAGATATTGGCCGCCTCGAGGAGCTCACCCGCCGAGGAGGATGAATTCGAGCTAACATCGGAGGTATCGGTTTTGGCCTGCTGATCCTGATTGATGTTCAGGTTGCACAGGAGATCGGTGAAGATGTCGTGACTGGTTAGATTGGTCCTGGCTCCAGGTATCGCTGCCTGCTGACCCGGCAGTTCCCAGATATTCGGTTTGCCGTAATGCGAGGCACCACTCCATCCATTGGAGGAGGAACTGGAACTGGTCAGTGAGGCAGTCGGTGAGGCGGCATGGGGCTGATGTTGCTGTTGCTGATGATGGTGCTGCTGCGACTGATGCTGCTGTAGCTGCTGCTGTTGCTGATCCCTGAGTGAAGCCGCTGCTCCCTGGCTATTCCACAACATCATTTTGGAGGTGTCATTGCCATGATTGCTCACCGTGGGACTTAGCGAGGGCTGTGATCCACTGCCCGAGGAGCAGCCACTGCTGCTGCTGGAGCAGCCCCACAGGGCAGAGATGGCATCACTTTGGCCCCAATTGGACTGCATCTTGTTGTTGCCGCTGCTGGCTGCTGCTGCTGCTGTTGCTGAATTATGGCTAATGATTAAGTTACTAATACTGCTGCTGCTGCTGATGCTATTAGCTGTTGTTGTGTTGGTCAGTAGAAGGCTCTCGAGTCCTGGTCCCGATCCGGGGACTTTTTGTGTTGCAAGTTGCTGTTGTCTCTGCTGCTGCTGCTGCTGTTGCTGTTGCTGTTGATACTTGCTCATCGCATCTGCCATGGCCATCATGTTAATGGTTTTATTAGCCTGCTGTTGGTAGTTGCTTCTCTGGAAAGGCTGATGTTGCTGTTGCTGTTGCTGTGGCTGATGTTGCTGTGGCTGATGTTGCTGCTGCTGCTGCTGTTGCTGCGTCTGATGTTGCTGTTGAGCTGGCTGCTGCTGCTGCTGTTGTTGCTGCTGCTGTTGCTGCTGCTGCTGATGCTGCTGTCGCCCTTGCTGCTGATGTTGCTGGGCATGGGGATGGGCTCCAATCAAGTCCGGATTTATTTGCTGCTGCAGCGGTGCCGAATAATCAATAGCGGCATTATACAACTGCTGCTTGGACTGCTTGGAGCTGGATCCGTTCGATGTTGTACCGGATCCGGAGGCCGTTGAAGCGCCCTGGGCACCTGGCGCCTGAATGGCAGCGGCGCCTGTTGCTGTACCCACGGGCGACTCCAACGGGGCCTCATGTTATGCGAGCGTTGGCAGCCGTGTCGATGGAATCGGCACTGGGTTCTTGGCATAGCAGAAGCTCAATGGCTTCACAAAATGCGTATCCTGGGTGTTGCAATATGGACAGGTCACGCCATGTGAATAATCACTGTAGAAGCTAAGACGCTGTTGCGGATGCATAAGCATCTTGAAGCAGTTATTGCACTAAAATGGGACAAAAGAGAAGGGAAAAGGGGGGTTGGAATTAAAGCAAAAATAATAAAAAAAAAAACATTTGAAATGTACAATTTAGATCGATATTTCTAGCTTTTTAGTATAGTTATACGTTTGAAAATCATTATTCTAAGCTTTATATTAATCAATTACTTATTTCTAACCATGTTTTCCAGTTAAAACTCACCTTGAACCGCTCGGCACAGCAGGGCATGGCCGCAAAGATATCATATGCATACATGGTGCCCAGAACCAAACTGGAGCCATCCCAAGGCTCTTTGCAGAATCTGTTTTTGGAGGGGGAAATCGTATAGAAGTAAGTATATATCATTCAAATGTCCATTTCCCACATTTCCTTCGTTTTCCCCCACGCGATCCTTACCTGCAGTTGATGACGCGATTGCTGGAGGTTCCGTCCAGGCAACTCATGCAAACACAGGTCAAGTAGAGAGTGCGTCCCTCGTATTTCACCTGCAAGAAAACCAAGTCGAAAAAGCGGAAGCGTTGAAAAAGGTGCAGACAAAAGGCTAAAAGAGGGGCAGGAACCAGCCGCATAATTCAAGCAGGAGCCTCAGGATCTCAGACATATACACACACACACACACATACACTAACAATGAGAAATTATGGCAGGAAAATGAATAAATTCTAAGACCCTGAAATGCACTTGGGGAAAAAGAGGTGAGCAAGGATTTAATACTGATTGCAATTGAGAAATATTAAACGTTAAGGTTAGTTCTCTGCCTAAAGTAAAAGATCTTATCTTTAAAGAGCCAAGAAAGCGATTAGCAATCTTTGATAGTTAAAAAACTTCTTTTAAATTGAAATATTTCTCATAAAAAGCTATAAATTGCACTTTTATATTTACCAACTATCATAAATTCCTCTTTTTTACTAGTATTCAAACTAAAAACCAGACAAACCATAAGCAAACACAAGCTGCCCATTATTTTTTGTGTTCAAAGAAACTACCAAAGTTGATTTTTGTGTTATTTTTGTCTAGTTAAATACCCTTACAAAGCCGCCAAGGCAAATAAACCGCCTTTTGTTAGGGTATCAGCTTTCTGATTTTCTACTTTTCCACTTGTGTCAAAGGGCAAAAGAATAGAGCAGGCAGAAGGGGCTTCAAAGACCAAAGAATTGAGCGCATTCTTGCATGCCTGACAAAAGGCACTAAGAGGTGGAGGAAGGACCTGGAGATGGAGTAGGAACTGCAGCTAGGAGGAGCCCTGCCATTGCGACGCGACATAATAATTTCAAATAAAATGCAAAATGCATAAACTTGTCCAGGAGACGAGACTGAAGCCGATGCCGCCGCCGCCCACGAACAAAAAAGGTCCCCGGGTAGACCGAGACCAAGTCAAAGTCAAGGGAGGGGAACCCCCCAGAAAAGGCACAAAAGAGCCAATTCCAAAAGCAGTCAGTAGAGGCAACAGCAACAGCAGCAGCGGCAGCTGGCAATGAATTATAAATCCAGGCTTAAATTAAAGCCCACAGAGGAGTTGCAGTTGCAGTTGTAGAACCCTGTCAGCCAGGGAAAGCAGGGAAAATAAGCCCATGAAAGCGTAGGTCGTGCGTGCAGTTTCCCCCCATTCTTTTCTTATTTTTATATATTTTTTTCCCCTGTGCAGACAAAATGCAAAATACAAAATACAAAATGTGCAATGTGCAGTTTTCCCAACTCCCTTCCCTGGCGTAATTACGCCGACTTAAATGGGTCATAAATTGCGGGGACAGCAGACAGTCTCCAGGCCAATGGGAGTGCCAGCGGTGGCATGTGGCAGGAGGTTGTGCATGTGGGTGAGATGTGGCTAAACGGAGACACTTGGAAGGTGGAGTCCATCCCGAAAAGGTGGAGCTGCAGCAGGCTTCGTCCCGCTAATTGCAGCTGAAAGTTCTTTGGGGGCCACGTGGGCGAGTGAAAGCGGAAAGGTTTTTTCTCTTTTGCTATTCGAGTGGGAGGTGAGTGGAGTTGAGAGCACATTTGACGTTTTATTAATGATGAGGCTGCACTGGAAATTATTTTTAGTAGGAGTGGAAAATTTGTAGTGGAGTTTTGGGTAGTTTGTTAATGAATTTAAGAGTTTTAAGAGAATATAAAATCGTAAAAGTTATTGTTATTGCGAAACATATTTGGTAAAGAGTTTTGTTGAGGAAGGAAGTGGAATATAGAACAGAAACTACCTAATAAACTTGACTTCTAGGAAATATATGTGTTTAATCAGACATTATAATTGAGTTTCGATTTATTTAGAGTGAAATTAAAATGATTTTTCGCCTTTAGTTATAAAAAAAAAACAAGTCATATAACATATAAAAAGCAAAAATCTAACAAAACACATACATTCGAAACCTTCGAATATTTATAATTTCTTATATATTTTCCTTCCTCCCTTCATAATTTCTCATATATACATATATTAAAATTTTTATATATTTTCTTATAAATATATATATTTTCTTTCAGTGCCTATCGTTACTCACCTCAATGCAGCCGCTGGAATGCTGCTTGGGACTGAGGAAAAAGGAGCCATCGACCAGCGGATAACGATCGAACACAAGCAGCGGCTCCTCGCACAGAATGCAGGCCACGCGGCTCATCTGGGATTGGGCCAACGAGGAGAGGATGAAGAGACGGGTCTCATCATTGCCATGGTTGCCCTCGTCTTCGATCTGGAAAGAGTCCACAAAAAATAAGGAAAAATTATTAGCAACAAATCGACGCAACTTAACACAGTCTAAAGGTAAGAGTAAACTTATGAACTATTTATTGAGGGGAAATCAAAGATACAAGGTATTTAGTAATACAATATTTCAAAAATAATTTACAATTATATATTAGAAACAGAATTTGTATATTTAAAGAACTCTATTATTGAACCCCCAAACTCTTGGATCTTCCAATATAAATATTTAAAATTCCAAAATAAGCAAAAAGTTCGTTACCCCGCCACATAGCCTCTTCTATAATATAAAGCCACTGAACCACTGGTGTGTTTTTCCTCTTCCAAGAGGTGTGTGTGTGTGTCCAATGAACATTTCCCAATATATGTCTGCCGAGGGACTAAACGAAGCAACCAGCTAGCGTCTAAGCGCCAACAAATGAACCATAAAATCCAAACGTGCCGGCACAACAAACGAAATAATACAAAAAAACCCAAAAGAGTCTCCTCGACTTTGTTGTCTAAGCCAAAGTGGCCAACACGTTGCCCAAATTGAATGCACACACACACACATACACCCACAGGACACACAACCAGGTAACCATCATCTAAGCCAAGTTAAGTCAGCCAGTCCAGGCCAATTCCCAAATCGATAATCAATATGGCGAGCCGGCGGCAGAGGGAGTCTCACACTCCAATTGGCATTTCCTATACCATACTAGGTGCTGGTGTAATAAAGCCGTCAAAAAGGCGAAAAAGGTGTTGAAAGGATCCACGAAATATGGCTAAGATGGGAATAGTTGCTTTAGAGGCCATCGCCGCCAATCAAAGCCAACTAACCCAATGATGAGGGAATACAAATATATATATTTGTGACTCTGTTTTTCGGGTAATTTGTGAAGGTCCAACTGGCACCTGACCAGACGGAATAACAGCACTCAGACAAGAAACATATATACATATATATAGTTTATATATATCGTATATATGGACAGGTGAATAATTTAGTGAGTGTAACGAAATTAAGGGCAAACGACACGTAGAACCAATCAATTGCAGCTGAGGTATGTCTTTACTTGGGGACACCAAGTTTAATGCACTTTTAATATGCGAGCAAAGGGAGTTACGAGAATGAGGATAAGGATGAGTTGGTTGGGCAAACACAAACCCCCTAAATCCCCTTTGGCAACTTGTGCTAATATTTGCCAAGAACTTTTGCCCAGGCAAAAGGATGACACTCTCTAGAAGCAACATCAACTCTTGGCTAAAATAATCAACAAATTAATATTTGCACGGGCCCATTGCAATTGTCTTTTCTGTTTCCCCGTTGCCTGTTTTTGTTTGCCAACTTCTTGAGGGGGAGGGAGGGACCAGCTCATAAATCTTGGCAACAATAAAATCAACTCTTAACAACAGAGATTCGATTAATGAATGTTTGCATTCTGTGTATTCACATTCTGCCTTGGTAAGCGATACCGAGGCACAATTTTCACTCATTAAACAAAGGAGTCTCAGTCCTCGTCCTCGTCCTCGTCCTCGAGGAAGGGTGAGTTGCTAAAGCAATTAAGTTGATTGCTCAAGGAGACCATGTTGATCCTGGGCAGGGGGTGTGGGGTGTCCTGTGCTCGTCTGGGATTACGAACGATAACAATATAACCCAGATAGCAGAGGCAACTGCAGCAAATAATGCTTCTCCTTGCCGCCTGTATCGCCTCTGCTTACAAGGACCAAAAAGGAGCAAAAAAAAAATATACAAGAAATAATAAAGGAATGCAGACGCACATGTGTAGTACATTTCATCATAGTCCTGGCAGGACTTTCTACGGATTTCTCTTTGGGTTTTTTCAAGGCACAGAAAGAAATTATGTTTAAGAATCTTAAACAAGAAAATGTTAAATGTATAAATAATGACTTAATTTATATATATTTCTGAGTTTTTAGAGTATTTGTAGAATAAACTATGTCTTAAATTTAAACCTATTAAAATAGATTTTAATTCAAGGCTTTCTTGGCCAGGAAAACTTTATATTAAGGTATATAAATACCTTACTTTTATTCTCTATTTTAAATTAAATAATTTTTAATATTTTCCCCTTTAAATTATTGCTTTAAAAATCTCCCTCGTATTTTATTTCTCTGTCTTGAGTCATAAATATTTCGCTGCTTCATGTTCGCTACGTGACGATTTGCTAATTTCTTGAGTTCGAGGCTCTTGCTCGGGTTCTGTTGAACCCCCGAAAAAGAAGAGAATGAACTCCAGGATTCAGGAGCAAAGGATTGAGGACTCTGTCTCCTGTCTTGCTCTTCATAATTTATGAGAGTCGCGTGTGCACAAGTTTTTTGGCAAAACCGCAACGCAGAGGGAAAGCTCTTCTCTCTGCACAAATTATAAGCATGAAATTATTATTGCCAAATTTCAAGATTATTTGTTAGGAGAACAAAACTTTTCATATTTGCGACCCCGTAAAAGTCAAAAGTCGAAGTGCAATAAACTCCTAGAACTCCTAGTCTTTCTCTCTCAAATGCATTGACTTCAACAGGACGAAGCACTAATGAAGCCATTGAGTTGTCACTTCCTTTGGCATAAATCAGCCACCAAACTTCCTTTTCCGCGTGCCCATAAATATCCAACAACAACACCCAGAGCCCACAAATCAAAAAGGTTTTCTTTTTCAGCCACACCCCAACGAGGAAAAAAGAAAATCCAAGACAGACAATGGGCTGAACCAAAAACTACAATTCAATGCGATTCAATTCTCGTTAGTTTTCGGGTTCAAAGTGCTTTGCTTTTCATAAACACATTAAATTAAATGGCATTTGTTTCTAGTAAGGAAGTATTGGCTGTTAGTTAATCCATTAAAAATGTCAGCCATAAATATTTCACTTCAAGAATTTCCTCCTTCCACCACGGGAAAATGTCTCCATTTGCCATTTCCCCCACTCCTTTTTTGGCATTTTTCCTCGCCCTGCCTTTGGCTCCTTTAAGCTTTATGCCCAAAAAGTTAATAAAACTGCTTAATATTCTTCAAATTCGCCTTTGTTGGATTTTGTGCCCCCGCCAAGTGTTTGTGCAGACATTGAGCAAACACACATGGTGTGCCTCCTCTTTGCTCCGCTAACCCCTTCTTTTTACCTTTTTTGGTTACCTTTTCTTGCAGAGGGGGGGAAAAATCCTCATTACCGTTCAGTGGGCGTTACTGCGGAGAAAAACTATTTTATTAACCCGGAAAAACTGTTTACCGCAACCATCATTCTCAATTGTCAATTGTCTCAGGGCGTTGTGTGTGGGGAAAATTGAAAAATTGTCTGCTGTTTAAATGGTTTTTCTTTCATTTTTCCTCGCATTTTCTATGTAGGCGTTCTGCTCTTACCGGAGAGACAAAAGAAATGGCAGAATAAATTTGAAAATTGTCATCGGGGAAAAGCTGACAGCTACGTCGTGGGCGTGGCGTGATGCTAGGTGCTTAATTTAAGCAGCAGAAATAAGTTTGCTGTCTACCCAAGCGAGACACTTTGATCAATGGGCCAGATGTGACCTGTGGATTAGGAGTTAAAGCCAATGACAACAAGCCACCGACAATGGCAACAATACTCTCTATTCTATACTATATACTGTATACACGAGTGCAGAACAAGACACTGACAATGAAATTGCAGTTGGAAATAGAGAATGGGGAAAATCCTCAGGAAAGGGCGCGGGCGCTCTTTTATAAATGAAATGGAGTAATAATATTTTGCGACAACAAAATGCAGCCAATGCTAAGGAGAGAAAATGGAATAAAAATATGGACTCGAATGTGGAATACCTTGGTTTATAGTAATTTATTAGGAATTATAACTAATATATTAAGAGAATGTACTTTTAATAATAAAATTTTATCACTAAAAATATATATTCTCTATAGAAGTTTTCAAGATATGGATATTAGAAAATCTTGAATGTATTTATTGATTTAAAATTATATACAAATTTAGCTTAAAAGAACATCCCGATAGTTTTTGGGATCAGAAAAGGCATAAATATTACAACCGTTTTATATTTTTCAAAAGAAACATCATTTATTTACTTCTAAAAAAACTTTAGAAATTATTTTTGAAGATCAGTTATACTATTCCCTATAGAACTTTCTCAAAACCAACATACCTTTTGCCCCGACCATTTTCTTAAAACTTTCTGGCAAGAAAAAACATTGCATACCGCCAGGCGCAGCTGTGCAGGATCCTAAGAAGCACCAAGAGATAGAGAGAGAGAGAGAGACAGTCGGTGGAATTAATATGGGTTTTGGGGGGAAGCATTTACAGAAAACGCCAGCAACAATGCAACCAAGGCAACAACAAAACTATATAGCAAACATGGCAGACAAACAAACATTTCAATAAATTCAAAAAGAACCCAAGCCAGACAATGAAAACTTCACGGGGGGGAGGGTGGAAAAACAAGCAAAAGGAGTGCCCGCTGCCAAGTCAAAGGGAAAAGCCTGTGGAAAAGCACAGCACTTGGTTGTACAACAACTGTGAAGTGGCTTAAAAGCTTGTCCAGGGTAAAATGAGGGGGGAGGGAAGTGCAACTCCTAAGAGGCAGCTGCTATTCGCATTGTTTTTCCTCCTCTCATCCCCATCCCCCCGTGGAAAATCTCATGTCATTTGCACTTAATTCAAATGCGCGACACAATTGCAAAATAAAAAGTATATATAAAAAAGGAAAAGAGTGAAAAGCTTTGCATATCTAGTCGGTTCTTGTGTCTGGGTTATAACTTCATTAGGCGCATTCGAAATGTTTTTGATAAGCTGCGACATCATAGCTTCGCTTTTTTCGCGAGTTCAAGAAACTTTTCCAGCGTGTGCCAAGTTTTATTTTTGATGTCCTTGCCAAGAGATTCCCTTTCAGTTGAAGGGCCATCATCGTCTCTATCATTTTAATTCCTACTCATCCTTGATCTTTGCAGTTTCCATTTATTTTTTGCATTTGCTTTCAGCACAAACACAAGAAAAATATCCCTCTTCTGACCTTTAAATATCAATTTGCAAATAAATTGTATTTGCTTTTGTTGTTCCTTCTACTGACTGGACTGGACTTTCGG